CGTAGCTGCTCAAGCAAGTCACAGCAACATTTTATGAAACCTGAATGTTCATGACCATGTACATAACAACCTTCCACTGTTCCCTATCCTGAGTCAACTCAATCCAATTCATACCACCCCACTGTATTTTTTAAGATCCATTTTAATATTACCCTTTCCCACCAAAACACTTTATGCATTTCTCTTCTCCTCCATGCATGCTACATGCCATGCCCATCTCTTGATCATTCTAATTATATTCGGCAAAGCATATAAGTTATGAAGTTCTTCATTATGCATGTATTCTCCAACCTCACTATTTCATCCTTCGTTGATCCTCTCTGAACTATCAGAGATTGGAAAGCTGGGGTAGAAGGCTTGATCAGGAGATAGTTATTGTATACATAAATTGACCATGTTAATAGGTATCAGAAGTTTTAATGTGGAAACAGGTTCTTGCACAAACGCTTTAAATGGAACAGTGAGTGATGAAGTGGACAAGTTAACAGAAAATGATTTTTTAATAATAAGTAGTGGATCTAATGACATTAGTAAGAGTGATATGAGACTGGCATTCAGGAATATTGTTAATTTTATTGAGCATGTTAGACACACCAATGTAATTCTAACAGGTGTTCCTCTTAGATATGACACTCCTGGATGCTCACAGTTAAATGATGCAATCAATCGCTTTAACAATAAGTTGAGTAAATTGACCCAAAATCTTTAGTCATGTATTCTTGAGTGAACCGATCAAAAATAGATTGTTATACACCAAATACGGCTCACATTTAAATACACGAGGCAAGGAAATATTTTCTAATCAGTTAGTCTCCCAGGTATTTTTATTGTTGGAAAAAGCTAAGGTTAAGCCTATAATCCTGGAATGGTACGATAAGGTTACTCAATTGGTCGTTCCATCAATTGACAAGTCCTCTTCGACACTGACTTCAACTCAGCACAGTGTTAAACGCAACAGGAAATTACCAGTAACTAGAAATGATTTTTTATGGAACATTTAAATGCCTACTCAGATAAAAAGCAATCACTGCCCCTTAAAACTGGTAATGAAGATCTAGTCATTTATCATCAAAACATTAGAGGACTTAATATAAGTAAGCTCGACGAATTATTTATCTCTTCATCACTGGATTCCTCTCATATTGTTTGCTTGACCGAGCACCATCTTCGTGATACTGCTATTGACGCTACTTTGATGACGGGTTTCAAACTTGGGGCTAGTTTTTGTAGGAGCATCTTTAAAAATGGTGGTGCATGTATTTTTGTACGTGAAACTATTTATTCTACCACCATTAATATGGACAAATACTGTAAAGAAAAGGACTTAGAAGTATGTGCAGTTAGGTTACACCTCTCTACTCATGAAATATGTGTTATTACCATCTATAGAGCTCCTTCTGGTAACTTTCAGCATTTTTTTCAAAACCTTGACGAACTTTTAAATATGATTTTTGCACACACCAAGGATATAATAATATGTGGTGACTTCAACATCAACTATCTCGAAGATTCTCCCCACAAACAGCAGCTAAACTCAGTACTAGCCTCTCATGGACTATATAGTATAATCCAATTTCCTACTAGATTCCAAAATGATTCTTATTCTTTAATTGATAATATTTTCATTAATACATACAAGTTTACTAATTTTACTGTATGTCCCATCATAAATGGTCTTTCTGATCATGATGCCCAGAACCTAATAATACACAATATATTTAAACAAAAACCTAAAGATAGCTACTACTATATACGGGAAATAAACGATGTTTCAATTACTAATTTTAATAACAAATTAAGTTATGAGTTATGGGAAGACGTAATTAATGAAAAAGATATAAATACTGCCTTTAACTTTTTCCTGAATGTATACTTAACAATATTTCACTCTAGTTTTCCCTTAAAAAAAGTTCATACCCGCTCTGCCAGTAAATCCTGGCTAACGCCTGGAATCAGGATTTCATGTATAAACAAAAAAAAGCTTTATTTAGCTCAAAGAAATAGTGATGATATAAATTTAACTAAGTTTTATAAGAATTACTGTAAAATTTTAACTTCTGTTATCAAACTTGCAAAAAAAACATAATAATAATATTATAACTCATTCAAATAATAAAATTGCAACTGTGTGGAATATTGTAAAGAGTACTTCGAAAATAAAACCTAATGTACCCAATATAAGTACTATAAGGGTAAACAGTAATTTATCCTCAGATTCTCAGATTATTGCTGAGGAATTCAATAAATATTTTGTATCAGTTGTTAAAAATAATCGCTCAGCTAATGACACTTCCAACCAAGAAAATCCTATATCTTATCTATCTAGGACACGTAATCAACCTTTTCCCCCTATTACATTAAATTGTGTATCGTCAAAGGAAATAGAAGATATTATAAAATCCTTGAAAACAAAAAATTCATATGGATATGATGGGATATCCACTAAAATTTTAAAAGTTAGCAGTCCCTATATTTCTTCTCCTCTAACTTATTTATGTAATAGAATGCTAACAACTGGCAATTTTCCACTAAGATTAAAGTTCTCTGAAATAAAGCCCATATATAAAAAAGGTGATAAAAATGACACATCGAACTACAGACCTATTTCACTGCTCACATCAATTTCTAAGATCTTTGAAAAGGTAATCTATAATAGAATGCAACAACATATCAAGAAAAATAATATTCTTGCTAATGAACAGTTTGGATTTAGACATGCACGATCAACAGATGATGCAGCTTACTATCTTATTAATAATATCTTAACTGCTTTAAATAACAAAGAAATTGTGGGCGGTGTTTTTTGTGATCTTCACAAGGCCTTTGATAGTGTCAACTATGATATTCTGCTTTCGAAGTTGAATCATTACGGGATTAAAGGAAGGGCTTATGATGTAATTAGATCCTATTTATCAGATAGATACCAGAGAGTAATAGTTGTTTCTGACTCAATTAAATTCTACTCTAAATGGGAGCCTGTTACCGTAGGAGTCCCTCAAGGATCCATACTTGGTCCCTTGCTTTTCCTTTTATATATCAATGATTTGCCTAATGCCATATCTGATGTATCCTATCCAGTCTTGTTTGCGGATGACACAAGTCTAATAATTAATAATCCTGACACCCCAAGATTTGAAAAAGATATAAATATAGTTTTAGAAAAATTAAATAAATGGTTTAGTAGTAATTTATTACTACTAAATCCTACAAAAACTTACTTTCTACAATTTATAACTAAAAACACAAGAGCTTTAGATTTACATATACTATGTGGGAATAAACAAATAACCAATATGGAGGTTACAAAATTTCTAGGTTTGGTTATTGATCATAAATTGTCTTGGCAAACCCATATTGACCAAATGATACCCAAATTAAATAAGGCATCCTATATAATTAGAGTATTAAAACCTCTTTTATCCTTGGAGTGCCTAAAAACTGTTTATTTCTCCCTAGTTCATTCAATAATATCTTACGGCATAATATTTTGGGGGAGTTCGGCTCATGCAAAAATCATATTTCAAATACAGAAAAGAATAATAAGAATTATTACCAATTCGCGTAATATAGATTCGTGCCGTAATTTATTTAAGGAGTTACATATTCTGCCACTTCAGTCTCAATATATATTTTCTTTACTTATGCTGGTTGTCAAGAATAGAGATTGCTATATAACAAACTCTGATGTCCACTCACGTAATACCAGATTTAATCATGACTTGCATCTTCCGGTGGTAAACTTAACGATATTTCAGAAAGGTGGATGGTATTCTGGTATCAAACTTTATAACCACCTCCCTCCAGAGCTTAAACAATTATCTTATGACATTCCTGGATTTAAAGTGGCGTTAAAGAAGTTTCTTATCACCAGTTCTTTTTATACTGTTGAAGAATACTACTCCTGGAATAAAGATTGATACCTCATGTATATATTTTAATCATGTATGTAATTTTAAATGTCATTTTGATATATGAATGTATTGTGGTACAGTAGTTTTGTTGTATTGAGTATTTAAATTTTGACGATGATGACTGTCTGATTATGTATGTATATTTATATGTTATATTGTATTATTGACTTGTTCTGTATCTGAGGCAGATGTCTCTATGGATTTTTTTGGAACTGTAAATAAATGACAATGACAATGACAATGACAATGGCATATAACAGGATAGAAATGGTCAACTTACTAGTATCCTGTCCAAAATTAATATAAAGTAGTGCCATAACCGAGGGCAAGAGACTGTAGTGTTAACACCTCTCATTTGGAGAAACAGAACTATAAAACAAAATAACTGAAGCACCATAAGGTTTCTAGTAACATACCATGAATAAGACAATTCAAGCAGATATGAAGAAAGTGGTATACATGACACCTGAAATACACTTTTACCTTAACATTTGAATTAGCGGTACTTCTTTTTGTATTGTCTGCAACACATTCTATGTAGTGAAATATTGTCCAAAGTTAAATCTGCATTTTGTGTTGGCCACAGGACATAAATGGCCATGTTTCTCATTCACACATTTATATCTGGTGAATACAACAGCATAATATTAAAATTATGTACAGTCACTAAAGTGAGCTCTAGTGGCATATATTGTTAACAACAGGTGCAAATGGATTAAACTTTTCATATAGATATAAACATGTGTTTGTGTGGAAAGCCAGAATTTTAGTCATTTATTATTTTACTTAGTGATCCTCGATATTCTGCATTCTTGAACTGTCATCTTACTTGTGCTTCAGCTGGCAGATATTTCCTTGAAAACATAACGAAATCTATACTCAGAATTACATTTCCAATACTATGGCCTGAAAAGGATGCCAGCCCTCTATATTACGTCATAATTTCATGGTACATGTCTGTTTCACGAGCACCGTTTTCTGTGCCAGTCAGTCAATCAAAATGGTTGAGGTACTAATGAGGAAGAATGCTACTTGACTTGTTAATCTGTCACTAGCATCAGGGGTGTGATAATGATACTTTGTTTACAGGACATACTCGGCACACCTGGAAAATACAGACTGCTGCTCAACTTGGCCACAGCATTTAGGAAAGTGGCTTATGTACCAGATTAATGTGACTAAAGTTTCCAAGTTCATAAATGTTAATAAGAACATCTGTATTACCTTCTATGTGTAAAGAACACACCCTTATGTCTTCATGGCATAATGCTTAATTAATTAAACATAGGGACATTACCTTATATGGATCACAAATAGGGTAAATATAGACCACAGAATGGCTGTGGTCTGGGTGTCAGTCTGCATAGGGAATGGTGTTGTTAATTAGTAGAATTTGAATAGTTTAACAATTTCATGTTCTGAACCAGTTCAGTTTAGGAGAACCTTCTGGATATCTACATTGATGTTACTGTCCGCCACTGATATGGATGTCAACCAATGAGGAATCGATACTACATGTATACTCTCTTAAAATTAACATAATTTATGAGCAGTATTCAGTATACTGTATTACATTTTAGTCGTGATATTACGTATAATTCTTATTTTATTATCATCTGTTGCAAGGCTGATGTGGCAGTGGCACAAGACAGTTGGACAGAACAATTGTTTTTCTGCATGATACAACATGGACGGAATTGTTATCATATTGTATAAGGCACGTTCTTCACATTTTGTGAAACAAGACTTGGAGAGAACCTGGGTTATGATCGAAGCGACTTCTAACCCACTGTACATATCTGAAGTGGAAACTGCAAGAAGATGAATATTACAAAATCTGAAGAAAGCAGTCTTCTGGGCTTTGGCGCCGTGTATATGTGGTGTTAACCGACGTTTCGGAGGAACGTATCGCCCCCATCTTCAGGGTTGAAGAAAAGTATAGGTAAATCTGCAAGCGACAACACTGTGAGACACGGTAACGCAGACTGAGTGTCTCACGGTGTTGTCGCTTGCAGATTTACCTATACTTTTCTTCAACCCTGAAGATGGGGGCGATACGTTCCTCCGAAACGTCGGTTAACACCACATATACACGGCGCCAAAGCCCAGAAGACTGCTTTCTTCATAGTCACCGCCGTGAAAGCCTCAAATCTTACATTACAAAATCTGATGTCATTTACACTGAAAGTAACAGTTCCTTCTTGGAAATTGGGGTTAAGAGGAGTAAAAACCTTACAGAATGTAAATATTGTGGGTAAACATAACATGTAGCATGAAACAAGGCTGAAAATTTATCCTTTGAGACATCAAGGGGAAGAATTAAGGATTTAGTCAGACACAGATCAAGAATGAGACCTGGAACATTGACAGGCAGTCAGATAACAGACTGGAAGTACATAGTTAATTAAAGATATCCTATAACCTTTAACAGATTGAGATGAGTGCAGTCTGTTAGAGTAAGAAATTAGAAGCATGGAAACAAGATGTTTCCTTAATTGGAAAAGGTCATCCACATAAAAGAAGAATAATGCAAGCTGCAGTTTGATGCTGTGATGACTTTGGATACACAGAAGTTAAAAATGTGTAACTTGGTATTTTAAGATATGCTTCATATAGGGATTATTCTAGGAATTTCTAAGTGAGGAAGTACTTTTGAGGTCCATGAAGATCCTTCAGAGTTCTTCAAGAACTTAGAACAGAGGGGTGCAAGTGCAGTGAGGCAAAAGTCAGACCTCAAAAAAGTTCCACATTCAAATTTGTTCTCTATCGCTCATCTGATTCAGGTATTATCGTGTTATTCACTATAAGACTGTGAATGATGCCCTCACGACGCTTTCCGCTTGTCACTGCCTTGATGTAAGCAGGCAGATCCCCCAGTGTGAAGTGTGTCTCAGTGCCATCCTCAACAAATTCACCCTGCAGACATAAGAAAATTGCCAATAATGGGAAAATGGTGAACATTTTATTCATAACTGTTATATTGTATCACAGGAAACATGTGAAGAACAGTGAAAAATAACATGTTGAATAACATGCACACAGGAGCTTGATACTTTGATAAGAATGTCTGATTATTCTGTAGCATATTTAACAAAGTACAGTATGAACCCCTACACAGCAGTCTATTTCTGTGTGCTATAACATCTGCATAAAGAATGGAGATGAAAAAAATGGGTCTCTCTGCATTCTGTATACATACTGTTATAGCGTTTCCATGTAAGTAACCCTTCTGGATTCCAAACAAGTGACATGGAAACACTAGAACAGAAGTAACAATAGCAGTATTGTAATTCTAACAGTGAGTCTCCACGGTTACAACAGAAGGTTCACTGCATAGCAATGGCCGTGGATATATAAGATAATGCATTCACCAAAGACAGTCTTGGGATAGCCGCCGCTGAAGACAGTTGGGATCCAGCCACGGTCAGAGACAGTTGGAAGATAGCCGCTGCAGAATGCAGTTGAAGTGATACTATTTGTATTTGAGTGTGCAAGAATAAATGTGTTCGCTAAATCCGGGGGCTATGTGAAGTTGTCGCATGACATACCCAACACGTGACAATACATTTTATTCACATGTGTGTAATTTTATAGTTTAAGTGCCAACAGATCATGTAATATAAATTATGTTTTAATAATAGAACGCACACTGTATAAAGAAGTGTCACTCCATTAAAGCAGAGCATGTACCATCTGCTTTAACATTCAAAGACTCTTCATACTGTCCACAGAGTGTATTTTGTGTCTATTATGATTCTCAGAATAAAAAATTATTATTATTTCCCTACACAGAATTAACCATCTTTTTTTTCTAATTGGGATGCAGTCTATTTTCAGTGAGGTAGGAATGGAATATGTATGTTATTTAAATTAATTTTATACTTCAAAGGGTTAAAAGCATTTTACATAAATATATAGTATTTCAAATTTCTGAAGGAAATATACTGGTACTACTAACATAATTTTACATGCCTTTAGTACAAATCTGAAATGTTATTGCCACTTGTTGCCAATCATAAAAGAGTAGTGAAGAATTTTATACTGAATTTCATTCCTCCATTCCCATAAACAATAGGAAATAAAATAACACAAAACTTATTCACTGAGAGTCAAGCTCTGAGAATCAGCAACAGAAATTGTAAAACTTAAAAGACTAGTCAATAACATTTCTCAGGACTCAAATTTCAGTAACAAGTAAATAAGCTTGAAATTTAAAAGAAAAGGAACTGTGTGTGTGTGTTGAGCATAAACATTTTACCAACTTATGTTTAAGCCATCTGAGGCAACTTTAGAGACTGGGCTAGAATAGTGGTTCTCAAACTGTGGGGCGCGACCCACAGGGGGGGCGAAGGGCTTGAAGGGGGGTGCAGCATACTTTCCTACAGATAAAAATTAAAACTGCCCTAAATCAATTAGAAAAGTAACAAAAAATAAAAATATATATAGAAAAACGTTTGATGAGTACCGGCTTTAATTATCATGAATTTCAAAATAACTAATAATTATTCTCTTTACTGGCAATTGTGAAACGCGTATGCCAGAGACAGTGTTGATAGTTCAGCAGCAGCCACATCTTCTTCCAGGCGGCACTGTACACGCACAGCTGAAAGCAGCGACTTATGTCGTCTCATTGGCTCCTATTGGGCAGGGAGCAAGCAGTTTGTCGCCAAACTCAATGGTGATCGACGGGTATGCTCGTTTGATGTTGTGTTCTTATGTACAGATGGAGCTCGTTCAATATCTGGAGTCCATGCTGGATTACAAGCAAAAATTAAAGCTGCTGCTCCTGAAGCAGTATGGACTCACTGTATGATACATTGGGAATCTCTGGCAGCTAAAGAACTCAGCCCACCCCTTCACAAAGCGCTGCAGACGGTTGTAAAAGCCACCAATGTTAGCAAGACAAATCCTCTGAAGTCTAGACTTTTTAAAATGCTGTGTGAGGAAATGGGTGCTGAACACATTGCTCTGTTGTTTTTTAGTGATGCTCCGATGGCTTTCAAGAGGCAAGGTATTAAAGAGAATGTTTGAGCTGAGGCATGAGGTGTTGTTTTTTAAATGGGGAAAATCACTCACTGGCAGACAGTTTCAGCAAGAAGGATTTTTTTATTGAAAATGGCTTACCTCACAGATATATTTGAGAAACTAAATATCCTCAACATTTCATTTCAAGGGAATGAGGCAACTGCACTTTCTTGGAATGACAAAGTGAAGGCATTCATGAGAAAATTAGAGCTCTGGAGAAACAGTATGGAAAGTGACATGCTAGACATGTTCCCTACTCTGGTGTCAATGGTACAAGACACTGATAATCCAGTGCTTCCAATGGACATAAAAAGCTGCCTACTTGATCATCTCATAATTTTGAAAGTTCATTTTGAGAAATACTTTTGCAATGATTTTGAGGAATTTAATTGGATTACAAATCCGTTCGAAAATACTCCTGAGCCATCATCTCTGAACGTAAATGAGCAAGAACAACTCATCGTTCTCACTAGCGATACTTCATTAAAAAGTAAATTTAAGGAATTGTCTTTGTTGGAGTTCTGGATACATATTGGCACGGAATTCCCAACTTTGAGCCAAAAAGCATTGAAGATCCTGATTCCTTTCACAACAACTTACTTATGCGAGACAGGCTTTTCTGCTTTGGCAGCTATAAAGTCAAAGTATCGTTCAAGGCTAAATATTGCTAAAGAAGTTAGAGTGGCCATTTCTGATGTTACACCACGTTTTGATAAACTTTGTTCTCAAAAGCAGGCCCATCCATCACACTGAACTTTGACATTTAAATGTTTGATTTTCTTCGCAGAAAAAAATTAAATACTTGTTAGTTAAATATCGTTTCATTTCAATACATATTTTGGTTAATTGCCAGTGTTAAAACTACTGTTTATTGTAGGCCTAATATTGTGATACTTTAATTTTGAGTAAAAATACTGCTAAATAGTATGTAGAAAAACACAAAATAAACTGAATAAAACGTCAAACATATCATGACTTCTATTTTGATAAAAAAAAAAAGAACAGGCTGGGGGCCTGAGAGTATTTTCTCTTGTCAGGGGAGGCTCAGAGGTAAAAAGTTTGAGAACCACTGGTCTAGAGTATTCTGGGCAGAAGAATATCTTTTAAAAATATACTTTTAATTTTTAGTATTACTGTTACTTGTTTGTTTTCCTCCTTCAAAAACCCAGGATTGATGGGGGAGGGGCAGATGATGGGTTTCCTGGGTTGCCCCCTCCTGTCAGCATCCATGATCCAATTTTAAATATGCAAAATAATACATTATTGGAATATTAAGATTACTTTTGCATACACATACATATTAGGTACCCTAATATTTTGGTAAATATTCCTGTTATGTGGTCAGAAGCTTATAAAGTCCATATTCTTACATGTTTATACACACAAGTGTTACTATGTAGCAAAATGGATGAAAATAAAATACAATACAATACAGCCCATTACAACTAAACACAGAACTTAAAAAATCAACCCAGAAAATATGTCTGAAAGACTAAACAAAAGCAATATCTAAGCTTCATAAAGATGAACATTATTAGTATTAACACTGTAAACAGACAACCCACATGAACCTGGAATCATCAGTGGGAAGATGAGGAAGGGAGGTGGAGGAGGCCATCAACAACAACCACAGCATACCCAATTTTGACTGTATCAGTAAATGAAACATACTTCTTCTCCCCTTAAGCCTTAAGTATTATAACTGACTGCTTCCTTCTTAAAGAAGCTAACAGTCATACAGCTAGCCAAGGAATTCCATACCCTTCAGTGATTCAGTATTGAGGGGGTGGGTTTCCCCATGCACCATGACTGAGTCTATTGTACATCCCCCTTTTAATTTCTACCATCTCCATCCCCTACATATACTGGTGCTCGCTATCAGCCCCTTTCTGCCAGCGAGGTTTCTACCCTCTACTTGGCAGTGGTATCTAATAGTTAGTCCCTTTCTGTCAGCGAGTTAGTCCCTCCTCTGGCAGTGGTACCTAATACTTCCCCATCTATTGGAGGCATTGGAAACTATTTGGGCGGGAAACTTTTTGCCCTAATTTAGCTCAGAGGCCTCCTAGAGGCATGAGGTTCTTTTACGTGCGGTAAATCTACGACACGGGACCCACGGCTTAAAGCCCCTCCCGGAGGACATGTTCCCCGAATTTTTCCGCCCTTAAAAATTCCACGACCTCCGCCGGGTTTGAACCCGCGTACCTTGAGTCATGAGGTGGGAACGTTATCCCTAGACTATGGAGGCCGCTATTCCATACCCTTTATTGAACCACAAAGTTCATTACTGTTCTTACAAGAGTTGGCCACTGCTCCGTTTCCTTCACTAGATATGTTCAGTTTACTTTATCACGCCTCATTTCTGGCTGTGCCACAGCTCAGGTGGTCATATGACAGTTTCCCACCACCATGACTAGAGTTCAATCCCTAATCAGGCAGTTTGGGATTTTTAGTGTACAAAATGGCACTAGGGCAGGTTTTCTGGAAGTTCTTTGGTTTCCCCCAGTTCTCATGTCACCAACTGCGCCACATTAATTCATTATCTTATCACTGATGTCACATAATCTCGATATTGACAGCGTTGTTAAAAACTAACTAGCTCACAACCTCTTTTTCTATGATCTATTTCCTTCAGGTTTTTGATCAACTCTTGTGCATGCATTTCTCACAAAATAAATATGCCCCACCCAGCTCATTTGGTTATTGCAATATTTGGTGAAGCTGCTCATTATATGATCTCAGTCTTCTGTTACTGCCTCTTACTTACTTACTTACTTACTTACTTACGGAGTTGAGCCCTTCTCAAGAATTTCCTAGCATTTTATGGAATCCAAAGGTTGATTACCATGTTCACAAGAGCTCTCCATTGGTCCCTATCCTGAGCCAGATCAATCCATCCCATCCCATCCTCTCTCTCTTTAGATCAAAATATTCTCCCCAGCACCCTAGTCTCAAACATCACCAATCTATGCCCTTCCATGAATATGCGAAAACATGTTTCATATTCTTAAAAAACAAAGCATAAAATTACAGTTTTGTATATTTTAATCTTTACATTTTTAGACAGGAGACATGAAAACAAAAGATTCCAAACAATGTTACAGAGAATGCATTATGTCTTTAGATGATTCAATATTAAATATGTGAAAGAGTTAATTACTGGAATATTAGGTATTATTTCTGTTTGCTGTAGTTGTTCATTTCTCCACTGTCTAATATCTCCATCTAGTGCTGAGGTCAAGAATGGAGGAGCTATATCTCCATTCCCTCATACATCTTCATGTTGTGGTGCTTAATTCATTAAGTACAAGGACAGCTTTGCCTTTTTCTTTACTTTTACTTAATATCTCCAATTACTGTTATATTGTAAAATATAACAGTGAAGAGAAAAGCAAAACACTCACCATTACTTCAAGTTTCTTTCCATTGGCCCACACATCTAATGTATCTTTTTCTGAAACCAAAGACAAAACACATTGTAAGCATAAAATGCTAGAAAGGTAAAAAGAAAACAATCCCTGTAACAGGCCACGGAGGCCCAAAGGATTGTGAGATGACAAGGCTCCCACATTTTCTAGATAGTCAGCTGACAGATGGCAGTGAGGTTGTCAGCAATACCTAACAGCTGCCATTTACCCCCAGGAAGATTCCTGGCATTCATTTCTGTTAGAGGCTGAGCTGATCCCAAGGCCATAGTGCAAATGGAAGTCTTACATCAACTGAAAAATTCAATTACCTCATCAGGATTCAAACCTGTTTTCATATAGTTAGAGACCTGTACAGAGGAATAAATGACTTCATGAGGGGTTACCAACCTAGCAGTAACTTAGTGAAGGATAAGAATGGTGATCTGCTTGCAGATTCCCACAACATTTTGAATAGGTGGAGGAACTACTTCTCTCAGTTAATAAATGTACATAGGGTCAGTGATGTTATTCAGACAGAAATCCATACCGCTGAGCCGTTAATATCTGATCCTAGCCCTTTTGAGGTTGAAAGTGCTATTGCAAAATCGAAACGGTATAAATCACCAGGTAGTGATCAAATTCCATCAGAACTTATTCAAGCAGGAGGCGAAATATTACGTTCTAAGATCCACAATCTAATTACTTCTATTTGGCATAAGGAAAAATTGCCTGATCAGTGAAAGGAGTCTATTATTGTACCAGTTCACAAGAAGGGTGATAAAACTGACTGTAGTAGTAATTATCAGGGGATATCACTGCTATCAACTTCATACAAAATTTTATCCAATATTCTTCTCTCAAGGTTAAGGCCATATATAGATGAAATTATTGGGATCATCAGTGTGGGTTTCGACATAACAGATCAACTACAGATCAGATCTTTTGCATTCTTCAGATACTGGAGAAAAAATGGGAGTACCATGAGACAGTACATCAGCTATTTGTAGACTTCAAGAAAGCCTATGATTCTGTTAGGAGGGAAGTTTTGTGCACTGTAATGATAGAGTTCGGGATACTCCTGAAACTAGTTAGGTTGATTAAAATGTGTTTAAACAAAATGTATAGTAAAGTCCATATAGGTAAACATTTGTCTGATAAATTTTCTAACCAGAATGGTCAAAAACAAGGAGATGCTTTATCACCACTTCTTTTCAACTNTCTGCTGTCCAAAAACATAAAAATTAGAATATACAAAACTATAATTTTGCCTATGGTTCTGTATGGATGTGAAACTATGTCTCTGACATTAAGGGAGGAACATAGACTGAGGATGTTTGAGAACAGGGTGTTCAGGAGAATATTTGGACCAAAGAGAGATGAAGTGAGAGGAGGTTGGAGAAAACTGCATAATGAGGAGCTTCATAATTTGTACTCTTCTCCAAGTATAATTAGAATGATAAAGTCAAGGAGGATGAGGTGGGCAGGGCAAGTAACATGAATGGGGGAGACGAGGAATGCGTACAGGATATTGGTGGGTAAGCCAGAAGGAAAGAGACCACTTGGAAGACCAAGGTGTAGGTGGGTGGACAATATTAAAATCAATCTTAGAGAGAGAGGCTGGGATGGTATGGATTGGATTGATCTGGCTCAGGATAGGGACCAGTGAACGGCTCTTGTGAACATGGTAATGAACTTTCAAATTCCATAAAATGCTGAGAAATTCTTGAGTAGCTGTAGAACTGGCAGCTCCTCCAGAAGGGCTCTGCTCCATGAGTAAGTAAGTAAGTAAGCAAGTAAGTAAGACACAGGTGAACAGTTTATGGATTGGCAGTCAGATACAGTTGAATATACATTCTTCATTTGATATAAACATATAAAAATATTAATGAATCAGCTATCAGATAGTTTTGGTGACACTGTAGCATGCAGTACACTTACCCAGAACAACTCGAAATGTCTCATTTCTGACATGGACAATCCAGGTCTTTATTGCTTTACTTTGTATTTCAGTAAATCTTTGATAACTCTTTCCATTCACCTCAAGGGAGTAGGAGTATGAGAAACCTCCAACAGGTTCAACCTTTATGAGACAGCGGGCACTGCCCACACTGAATAGCTCATCCCCAACCAGCTTGAACATCCAATCACGATGCACCACCTCCTATAAAAAAAAAAACAGCTCTCAATTCATTATGTGAGACCATAATGGGTACTAAGACAATTTCAGTGACAATTAGTGGTGAAATTTATGATGGGTGCATGCAGCACTCCACAGTGTTTGGTATGGAGGAGCTGAACACATGTGACTTGTATTTGTGATGTACCTATTTTGAGTCCTGGCTGGAAACTGCCTACTCTTACTGACAAAATGCATTTGCATCCTCTCTCTTGAAGTGAATACGAACATTAGACAAAAGCAGCTGTCTTACAGAGCCTTCCTAATTCATCATGGCAACATCTCATTTGACACTACATAACAATAGCAGTTCATGCAGTTTTGTAAAGTAGCTACATCAAGCATAAAGGAAGGAGTAAGGCAGAAATGTTATTCCCAACTTGAAGGTTCAGTGAACTGCTGCATCTACTAAGAGAGAGTTTAGCATCAAGCAGTATTGTTAAAATTTAGTTCAAAGCCTGATATTTGATGACAGTTTGAAATGAAATACCTTGCCATTCACTCTGATTATTCTCTTCCCTGATGTGGTTCCATGCTCAAATTCAATGTGATGAATTCCATCACTGAGTGGGACATCCCAGAAAGCAACCACGTCACCCATCATCATGCAAAACTGGACTTCAAGTCACACTCTCTAAACAAAAGATTGAAGGAATTGTAACTAATTAAGAAATGGCTTCATATTACAGAATCTCCTTTGAAAAAGTTGATGGCCATTCAGCTGGTTTTAAAGCCCTCAAAAGTTCATGACCATGTTCACAAAATCCCACAACTGGATCCTATTCAGACCAAGTCAATTCCAGTTCTCACCTTCACACCATATTTCTGTAAGATTTATTTTTAATTATGAGATATTTCACATCTTTTGGAACAACAACAGCAAATACACACATGCATTGTACTTCTTGTTATTCTGTTTTGAGACATAAATGCTTTATTAGAGTGTACTTGTAACCCACGTTAAGTGGGTTCCTTGACACCATGACATGGCGGGTCTTCAGGTTGTGGGTGGAGGAGATGGACTTTAGATTTGATTTGATTTGATTTATTATTACCTCAAGCAATCCGTACAGGCAAGACAGTCAACACAGATATAGAAGCAGTCCATTCATATATGATGGGGTACCCAAAAGAAACAGAACTAATTTTTTTGTGGGCAGAGCTTTTGTAGTACCGTGTTTTGCCGCTATGAGTGCATAGAGCTAACATTCGTGAGTCGATAAGCCGACTACCGTTGCTTCAGAAGGTAAGGACTAGTTTCGGCAGAGTTTATAGTGACAACTGTTTTGTGTAATCATCGTTTTTGCAATGGCTGATTTTTGTGAACAGCGTGCGACGGTGAAATTCTGCTTTTTGCTCGGGAAAAGTGGAACAGAAACTCTTGAAATGTTAAAAACGGCGTACAGGGACGATACTATAGGGAAAACTCAAGTGTTTGAGTGGTTTTCCTGTTTCAAAAATGGTGAAATGTCAATTGATGACAAACCTCGTTCTGGTCGTCCTTCCACGGCCCAAACACATGAAAATGTTGAAAAAATTCGTGAAATCAACGAAGATCGACGACGGACCATTGAAGAAATTGCAGTGGAAGTGGCCAGATTCCATCATGACAATGCCCCTGCTCACACAGCCCTGTCTGTATGACAATTCTTGACCAAAAATGGTATGACCCCAGTTCCTCACCCGACCTTGACCCGTGCGACTTTTTTTTTTTTGTTTCCTCAAATGAAAAGAGACATGAAAGGAAAGCGTTTTGCTGATGTTGCTGAGGTGAAGGAAAAAACGATGGAGGCGCTGTCAAGCATCTCAAAAGATGAATTTAGACAATGTTTTGAAACATGGAATAAAAGACTAGACAAGTGTATTAGTGCAAGTGGAGAGTACTTTGAAGGGGATTGAAGGTTTGTGCTTAAAATTTTAATAAATAAGTTTAAAAAAAAATAAGTTCGGTTTCTTTTGGGTACCCCCTCGTATATACTAAAATAAAATATAAAATGAAAAGTAAAATATAACAAATAGATAAAATATTATGATAAAAGCAGCTGTAACTCACAACTTTGTCAACATACATACATACAACAAATGAACAATTTTCGAGTCACAACAATGATGTACAGATACAAAATATGCCCATAAGTACATGTTATCACAATTACACCAATATGAATTTCATTCAGAATAAACCTTAACTATAGATTTATAGACAATTCCAGGTATTCATCTACTGAATAGAAAGATTCCCTTAAAAGGAAATTTTTAGTGACTAATCTAAATTTCTTAACATCAGTTGATAATTTTCTTATGTTCCATGGTAAATGATTAAATATTACAATACCCATATAATACACACCCTCACAGCCCTTTTTGTACTTGGTCAGCTTTACAGATGGTAAGTGTAAGCTGCAACTCTGTCGTGTATTTATAGTGTACATTTCAGTATTAATCACAAACAGATGCATATTTTTCACTACCAATAGCAATAAAGAGAATGTATATTGGGAATAAAAAGGCAGAATATTTAAACGTTTAAAAAATCCTTGACAAGATGCTTTAGGATTTGCATTCATAATAATTCTTATAATTCTTTTTTGAACTATAAAAATAGTTTTACTATTTACAGCATTTCCCGAGAAGGCAATTCCATATGTCATAATAGAATGAACATACGCATAATATACAATTTTTAAATCATCAATTGTTAGAAGTGATTTAACAGATCTAATAACAAAACAAGCAGAGTTTAATTTCTTACTCGTTTTGTTTATATGTCCTTGCCAAGATAACGTCGAATCCGGTGTCACTCCTAGAAAGTCAGTGCAATGGGTACTATTTATTTGAGTATTTATATACCTTATTGGGGAGTTATCAGTTTGACTCATTTTTTACACACAATGTGCTTTATTAACATTCAAGGTCAAAAAATTAGCTTGAAACCAATGCATTATCTTCCCAAAGACAATATTAAAATTTTCTTTAAGCTGCCTATAATCAGGAGCAGTTAATATTAAGTTAATATCATCAGCGAATAAAGTAGGTTTCGATATGTCACTTATTATAGCTGGTAAATTATTTATATACAATAAAAAAAATAACGGTCCAAGGATCGATCCCTGCGGAACACCCAACTTAATCCTTTTCCAATCAGAGAAACATTGTCTAGATTTTTTATCTTTTATTACCACTCTTTGGTATCTATTATTCAGGTATGAGGTAATCAATTTAAAGAATATTCCTCGTATACCATAAAAATCCAACTTGGTCAACAAAACCTCATGATTCACACTATAAAATGTCTTTGTCAGATCACAAAAAATACCACCAACCAGTTTTCTATCATTCAATGCCTGTAATATATTATTAATTAAATTAAAAGTGGCAGTCTCAGTAGACAAATTTTTTCTAAATCCATACTGTTCAACAGGTAAAATACTATTTAAAAGGACATGTGCATATAATCTATTGAAGATAACTTTTTCAAAAATTTTGGAAAAAAGATGTAAGTACGGAAATTGGTCTATAATTTGATATTTCAGACTTTTCGCCTTTTTTATATATCGGATGTATTTGTGAGTATTTCAGCCGTTCTGGGAATATGCCTGTAGACAAAGACCTATTACATATATAAACAAGAGGCGATATTATGAAAGGCATACTCGATTTCATTACCTTCATTGAGACCTCGTCATAGCCACAAGAATTTTTATTTTTAAGGGATTTAATAATATCTTTTAGTTCTTTACCAGTTACAGGTTTATTTGTAATGTTACTTATGGATCCTATAGATAATGAGGATAAATAATGAAAAAACTTATCTTTATTTAGTGATGGCTCTGAGGTGATATCGTTACTCGGCTGTTTATGCATTGTAGTATTAAAATATAAATTAAAAGCATCAGCTATATTTTGACTGCCTTTACATTTTTCTCCCCCAGTAATTAACTGTGGTGGGTGAAAAGCATTTTTACGTTTTCCAGTCACGCTATTTACTATGCCCCACATAGTTTTGGATTTATTATTACATTTAGCAATCAATTTGTTATAAGAGATTCTTTTGGCTGCTTTTATAACTTCTCTTAATATTTTACAATATTTCTTGTAATAGGCATGCAGTATAGGACTTTTAACATTCCTACATAATATATAAAGGTCTCTTTTATGCTGACATGAAATTTTAATACCGATTGTTAACCACGCTTTATTATTAGAATTATAAAATAATTTTTTAACAGGAAAACAGATATTAAAACTTGTAAATATCTATTGAGGAAGCTATTAAATCATTTATCAACCTCATCCTCTAAAAAGACTTCCTCCCATGTTTCATAGCTTAAGTTTATCTTAAAGTCTTCCATACTATCTTTATTTATCTGGCGTATAGTATAACAACCAAGGTTTGAATCATTAATTTTTAAATTACTGAATATTAATAACTGCGCATCATGGTCAGATAGACCATTCACAACCGGAATAATAGAATAATTATTTAACTTATACTTATCAATAAAAATACCGTCTATAGCCATAGAAGATTTACTGTCTATTCTTGTGGGAAAATTGACTATATTAAATAAGCTATAAGCAGCCAAAAGAGCATCTAGTTGGGTTTTATTGTTACTCTTGGCAAGATAATTAATGTTTATGTCCCCACAGAGAATTATATTTGTGGAAGCTGAATAAAGCATATTTAATACCAGTTCTAAAGCATTTATAAAATATGGGAAATTACCCAACAGGGATCTATAGATTGATATCATATAATAAATATTCAACATTAAACATAATTTTGTAGCACATGCTTCAAAGTCCTGCTGCTTCTGCAGTACTTAGCTACTAGTGTATAAGGACTATAACATAGCTTATTGATTTCCATTTCATGTAAACGATGCTCCGTAAGACAAAGAATATGTGGATATTCATTTGCCAGGACAGCTGCAAATATATTGAATAAGCAGTCATGGAAAGCAGACAAGGGGTGGTCCTCCAGGTTGGGGGTCTGAGCATGGGCCTAACGACACTTTGCCATAAATAATAAGATTCTTACAAAATGTCACAAAGGGCCTCAGAGTTGGACAAATTCTTTGGCTAAATGACATAAGCTATGGAAAATGGGCATAAGTTCTGGTATGTGGAATGTAAGAAATCTGTATAGGACAGGTTCGTTCATGGCAGTTGTGAAAGAAATATCAAAATATAAGTCAGATTTAGTGGGAGTTCAGGTGGTCATGTGGGACAAGGGTGGCACTGAACCAGCAGGAAAATATACATTTTTCTATGGAAAGGGGAATGAGAAACATGAATTAGGTACAGGTCTTTTGTACATAAGAGAATCGTATCAGCAGTTAAGAGGGTAGAGTTTGTTAATCATAGGATGTCATACATAATACTAAGAGGTCACTGGTGTGATACTGTTCTGAATCCTCATTCCCCAACAGATGATAAAATTGATTATCTGAAGGACAGCTTCTACGATGAACTAGAACTTGTATCTGTTAAATTCCCTAAATACCATATGAAAATGTTATTAGGCGATTTCAATGCCAAATAGGGAAGACATTTATCACCAGTGTTTTTCAGCTTACCTTTAGAATATGCCATTAGGAAAGCCCAGGAAAATGAGGTGGGACTGAAATTAAATGGGACACATCAGCTGCTTATGCTGATGATGTGAATCTATTGGAAGACAAAATAGATACCATAAAGAAAAACACAGAAACATTGATTGATGCTTGTAAGGAAGTTGGACTGAAAGTACATGCAGAAAAAAACTAAGTATATGCTGCTCTCTCATCATCAGAATGCAGGTCAAAATCGTAACATAAAGATAGCTAACCAATCCTTAAAAAATGTGGTGCAGTCAAAATATTTTTGAACGACACTAACAAATCAAAATATGATTCAGGAGGAAATTAAGGAGACTGGATTTGGGTAATGCTTGCTACCATTCAGTCCAGAACCTTTTGTTGTCTCATCTGCTATCTAAAAACATGAAAGTTAGAATACACAAAAATGTAATTTTGCCTGTGGTTCTGTATTGGTGTGAAACTTGGTCTCTGACATTAAGGGAGGAACATACACTAAAGGTGTTTGAGAACAGGATGCTGAGGAGAAAATCTGGACCAAAGAGGGATATGGTAATAGGAGGTTGGAGAACACTGCATAATGAGGATGTTGTACTCTTCAGCAAGTATAATTAAAGTGATGAATTCATGAGATGATGAGAGTGGAAGGGAATTAGCACGAACGACAGAGAATAGGAATGCATATAAGATTTTGGTGGGAAAGCCAGAAGGAAAGAACCCACTAGGAAGACTAAGATGTAGGTGGGTGGATAATATTAAAATGGATCTTAGAGAAGTAGTATGGGGTGGTATGGACTGGATTAATCTGGCTGAGGATAGGGAGCAGTGGAGGACTCTTGTGAATATGGTAATGAACCTTCAGGTTCCATAAACTATTGGGAAATTCTTGAGTAGCTGCACAACCGGTAACTTTGCAAGAAGGGCTCATCTCCACGGAGTTTGGAAGTTAGTCTACTTGGAACTGTGTAACTCTCTGCTAGCAGAATCTGAAGGTTCAACACTGCACTAATATTAAAGCTAGCCTGTCAGCATGATCCTCAGTGTAGTTTAACTCAGATCTAATAATTTATATAATGTTTTTCTCAGGTAGTCAGTGGCTTATGTATGAAACTAATCATTCATCTCTGCTTACAAAGTTTAAGAGATTCACCTCCACATATGCCCATGATTTCAAAGTGTACTGCTTAGATGCACTGGGAAGTTTACTTTCTTCAGTCCATCATAACCTTCTTGTTTTGAATTGCGGCTCACAATACTAGGAGAAATAAATAATGTAGTAGTTTCTAATTCTATAAGGAGCCAGGCTTTCAATTCCTGACAGGTCCAAACTATTTTTCTCTGTTCCACTGTGTACAAACCCACTATATCCATACAGCCTCCAGCTCAGTGGGTAATGTAGGCTGAGGCATGAAGTTGGTGACTCACCTCCATCCAATGTCAAATATACAACCATGGAGTCAGAGCTCCTCATGCACACTCACCCACACCTATATATCTTCATAGTAAAATGCTTATTTAAGCATTAAACACCTTTGCATTTAACTTGTAATGTAAGGTCATCCTTTCCCCACTTACTTTTTCTTTCTTAGGTCCAAATAATTTTCTTATCACTTTCTTTTGCGACACATAATTTATGTTCTTTCTTCGGTATAAGAGGTCATGTCTTACAGATATACAAAATAAACAGTACTGATCTTAGAATTTTGCGTTTTATTAAACAGACGCAACAACGAATATTTTTTGTAACTAAAACTAATGGACATTGCATCTGAATATATTTTACACTACAGTATGAACTTCTGTTTACAGTTGCCATATATTTAAAATTGGGCACTTTCAAATGCCGTTTTACCAACAGCTATTACATCTCTACTATAAATTTCGATTTAATCACATATAAACTTCGCTTCATCAACAATTCTAGGCACATTTATTTTTGGATTGTACTATAATGTCCGTGTTTGTGTCTATACTCACATATTATCATCAGTAAGATCAGTAATATGTACTGGTTTAGGCCATTCAGTTCGAGATGTATTCGGGTAGACTACGTAACTTCAGGCAGCATAGCCGAATTGTCACGTAAATCATAACCTCTATTGTATCACTATCATCATTGTTTATTAACGGCACAGTGCTGAATATGTTAGGGGAAAATCAATATTCTTAAGGCTGAAATGGAACGATAGAGTACACTCTATGTTGGTGTCATCCGTATTCTGCATATTGAAGTATAATTTGCTTTCGTTTCGCCAAAAGAACAAGCAGTTGATACCGTTGATACCGTCTGATATAACGAACATCATATGTTATTCTGTACTAAATGGGATTTATAAGCTATAATGCCAAGAACTGACAGAAGCATATAACCAATACGGACTATTAGTTTAATAACCATACTCGCTGACAATCCTCTGCAGCGTCATGAACGTCATAAAACTCTCATGTTATTGGTTGGCAGCATGGCCGCCATGACACCTCGGTGAAACGCTCCTGCCATCTATGTTATTTGTTTACTAGCTCAGAACCACTCAGAACAAAGCCCCATTCATTCTGCAGTCAAAGCCGTCAAAGCTATGCGCTTATCTAAGTGCCGTATCAGTTTTCACCAAGCTAATCTAAGTACGTACGTGTGTAGGAACAATAATCACGGCTCTAGACACAGCCTGAATATATTTCCTCTGGACGGGTTGTATAGACATTTTAGCAAACATAGGCTTCAAAGACCGTACATGTATTTATGTCAAAAGTTACAGCTACATTTCATGTACAATGTTACGTAATTCAATTTTCGGTAGAAAAAACACACGTTCTTCAAAGGAAGTCAGAATTAGAGGGCGTGTGATGCCACATATATGCGGTAATCGGCGACATTTAAAAAACAGCCGAGCCGCATATAAGCGGCAATTGTCACGAAAGGGTTAAGGAGCAGTGGCGGCTGCTCCAGAAAATTTGTAACCTTTGTTTTAAAATTGTATAAAAGGAAACAAACATGTATAAAAAGAAAATTTATTCATAAACTTGATAAAATCCTGAAAGAACAAAATCAAACATTTTTTACTTTAACCTAAATTGTTACAGTTCAAGCTTAATCTATTCATTTAAAAATGAAATCCATTCTTTTTAACCTTTATATTATGCTCATTGATTGAAAGTCTGTATGCCTCACTAAGTTTCTCCTTAATACTTAACGGTTCCTAAAAGTGACAGTGAAACTACATTATCAACATGCTTCTTTGACTTCTCATGCTTTTCAGTTTTTTCTTTAATTTTGTTTATATTTCTAAAACCATCTTTTGTCCACGTTACATCACCCCCAAACAGCAAACACGGAAAGCAAAACAGTGCATTTTTTACTTCACAGCCGCAAAGCCAACTTTTCCGTTTGTACCATTCAGAATTAATTATTTCTTGTTCTTCCTTATGCCTGGCTGATATTAGAATATCAGGTGTTAAACGACCTCTTTTCTTAACTGTAACTTTCACAGGAGAGACAGTTGTGAAAACTTAAGCTGTTGAAGTTCACTTACAGTCACATAACTTATTTCTCGGGGATGCAGGCCATGGTTAAGTTTTCTGTTAAATAAAAGAACCGAAAATATGAATCAGATAGAATAGCTGGAAGCAGGATAATAATCTAATTCTAAAATTAACTCATATTCAAGAATATGGTACATGGTTTTTAAGCAAAACACACGCGGAGTAAAAAAAATACCTTCCATCAGCATGCCAGGGTCGGCACCGGTTGGCACTGTCGTTCCTGCAGTGCTCCCTCACCCTTGCAGCCCCGCGTGTAGCTTCCTATGTGCGCATGCGCACAGTCAACAAACACCTCGCCTCTGGAACTGTGAAATGCACAGTTCCATACAAAGATTTGGCTACTGACATTATGCTTAAGGATTTTATATATTGTATTGTACAAATATAAAGAAAGAATTAAAGAAAAAAGGGCTCATTATATAAATGTTATTGATAATATCAAGTGGAAATTGGGGGTGCTGCAGTTCCACAGTGCCTATACGCGGGCCGCCCCTGTTAAGGAGAGATTTTATCATTAAAAACAAGTAACAAGTTTGTGTTTAAAAGTTAAATAACTAACATTCTAATCATTTGCTTTTTAATAAATCATGCTGATCATGGATTTCGAAAATTTTTTCTTGCTTCCTTTCAACCTTCCCCCAAACTCCCATGGCACACCAGTTTATAATCACTGTATTACACAATAACAAAAGACACATCCACATTATGTGTATTATCACAAAACCATATAAACCTAATCACCCATAACATCCATCCTACAGAAGCAAACACAGAACGCAACACCAGCCTGGAACAAGGTAAGGAGGTCAGCTAATTAACCACAACCATTATTACAATTGTTGTATATGGAGGTATAGTAGTGCTACATATGGAGGTGTCATGAATAAAAATTTTAATAATGAAAGTAATTGTCATATGAAATAATTAGTAAATAAGTTAGAACTTGTAAGAATGTACCAGAAATAATTGGATGAAACTGTACAAACGAGATGCTGTAACTCAGACTTTCACCAAGGCTATTTGTAGATGTTTCCAGATTTATCTTGTTTTGTATTAAGAAATTGAGGGAAACAATTGACGTATAAACCCTCAAAACTTTCCATTCTTAACCATGAACTGGATTGCATTGGTAAAGGCCCGAGATGAGTGTGGAAAATACCCAAACAGATCATATGTACAAAACAAGTACAGCAGCAATGGAATCTTCCTTCATACAAAGTCCTCCTAATCAGATTGTATAAATACTGTATTTCCAAACAACGAAAATTACTCTTCATACTGAATTGATACGACGTGGAATCTGTGTCAGACGAAACTCTGTCATTCAGTAGAAAGTCGGCCTTGTGCGAAGGGCCTTACGCACTCCTGCTGTAACAGTTTATTGCATTTATTAAACTACCTTGTATTAAGTTTTCATTTGTAGCAGTTCTCATCTCACCAGCAACGGATTTTCCCATTATCCGCTCGACCAAATCCGTCCGAATCCGTCTACTTATTCCCTTAGTCTACGGATACAATACAATACCCATGTAACAATACAACAAAAATATTTATATTTCGGAACACCGCACAAAAAGTGAACACGAAGAATACACATATGTAATATAAATCCAGTATATGACAAGAGAACCAGGTTATATCATGCTCATCAAGAGAAATGATTATTGCACTGGACCCAGCAATACATGACCAAACAAACTCTGCAACTTCAGTCCGCAAGCAAACCATACTATATCACTCCAAAATATCCACCACTGCATGGGCTTCAGGAGGGATTTGCTCCTTTCCCTTAATTAAAAAAAAATTAAATTGGGAAAAAGAAGAAAATGTGCCACGTATTGATTGCAAAATTTGTTCTTATATCCTGAATACTGTAGGATGATTAGTAAANGTACTTGTTGCAATTTGTATTGCTTTTTAACTATTGTATGTGTATTTGCTGCAATCTGTATTTCCTTTTAACAATTTTATGTGTTTTTTTTTGACAAGTATGGATTATATATGCTAGTGATTTTGTTTGTGAATGTACATGCTTCCAATGTCTTGTTGGCTTGTTGACATGTTTTATATTCTGTGCCTGTGCACATTTGTGAATAATCTGAAACGCAAATGTATATGTATGTATGTATGTATGTAACACTCACATCAAAAAGGTAGGATCAAGCAATCTTCATAGCCTGTTATAATGCAAAGTGGTCACTCTTCAGTATAGCTGTAATGCTGGCAGTATCTTCCCTGTGCAGGAGCCAAACCCTATACGAAAGTCATCACCTTGGCAGTAACCTGGTGGAGGGAGGAAAATAATATTTATCTCATACTTTCCTCTTTGATCTTTCAATGCTTTCTGCCAGAATCAACAGAAACTATGACACAAGCTTGTAGAGGTTAATATGACAGAGAACGCATCCATACTTTTACAGGTACACAATTTGAACCTAGAATTGTTTTGGAAAGGTCTGATGCCTTGAACATTACTATTCAAATAAGTTATTTCCATCTGTGTGAATTTTATTTTTTCAATTTCTGGTATGCTAAGAAAGAATACTAGTCAAATCTTGAAAATATTGTTATTGACTAGTCTAGACTTCATGCTGCATACCACATTATGGTTATTATCATATGTACATAACACTGACACATGAATAAAGTAAATTATGTTTATACCGATAAAAAATTATAACTGAGGCCACATTAAACCCAGCTATATTTATCTGTAACCTTAACATAATTTTAATTTATTTTTATAATATGAGCTTTAAAGTCATTCTTTTAGATAACCAGAATACAGAATACTGTGCAGTACATGACAGCTGCTGTGTAAACTATTAACCATACAAGTATTCATCTATTTCTTTGTGAAGGCTATGACTCTTTCAGCAAGAACATAAAACTTCCATGTATTTTTTTCTTATCGCTAGTGGGGTGGGACTAAGTCCCTTGTACTGCGGCCACTTCTGGCCTGTTGTTCCCAGATGATAGATGAGGGTGATTGTGAAGTAATTGTGGAATGAAGATTGGCAGGGGAAACTGAAGTACTCAGAGAAAACCTGCCCCAGCGCCACTTTGTCCACCACAAATCCCACTTGACCAGACCCGGGATCAAACCCGGGCCACCACAGTGGGAATCCAGCGACTAACTGCTTGAGCTATGGCACAGCCAAAACTTCCATGTAACACTTTTACCTGTAATGATAACTTCATCGTTGTCCTCCAGGAACTTGCGAGTTTTTCCATCCTTGAGTCGAATGGGTTTGGTGCCTTTCCAGCAGAGCTCAAGCATTGAGCCATATGACTCAATAGTCTGAAACAATGAAGTTCTCGTGTAATGTCATCATAATAATGTACTTTGAACCATACATTTAACCATTCGAGTACTATCTACCCTAGCTATCCTAGCAATAGCAGAAGATAATCTGGGTTTCCCCTGTATCCTAACACAAGTAGATGTTCTGGATTTTCTCTGATATCCATTGAGGGTCTATGCTTACTAGCCAGAAGGTCACGGGTTCAAGTCCTGATGAGGTCATTGGATTTTTTCAATTGCTCTAATCCTTCCAGCCAAGCTATGGCCCTGGGGTTGACTCAGCCTCTAACAGAAATGAGTACCAGGAATTAATTGAATAATTTTCCTTGGGAGTAAAGCGTGGCTGGCGCGTAAGGCTGACAACCTTACCGCCATCTTTGAGCCGATTGTCTAGATAATGTGGGACCCTCAACATCTCACAACCCTATGGGCCTTCACAGTCTGGTACAGGGTAGCTTTACTTACTTTATCCCTGTAATGGTAGACACTCAGAGTTTTCTCCCATATACTAGCAGCGATCCCATTGGCATGATCCCAAATACCTCCTACAGAGGAAGTAGCGGGGAAATAAGCTGGCTTGTACTTGATGTCGTGCATGTTTTCAAGTGTCTGAAACCTCCCCAAGGAGGTTCTCTACAATCATTCCAAATTTGGTTGAAATGGGTGCAATGGTATCAAAATATATAAAGCACAGTCACAAAACAGACCACTAATATTTACAGACACAAGAGAAGAGGCAGATGACAGGAAGATATGCATAATCCACACCAAGAAGAATCCATGGCAGCATATGTTTCATGCTGCAATGTGAGGATGATAAGATACTGTAATTACAAGGAACAGGTCTGCTGACTTTCCATGGCTGGTTAAAAGAAGTACTTTTTTATCATCTAATGAAAGGAGGCAAATGTTTTTGTATTTTCAGTTGCAGAAGTCTAGCACAAAGGAAACAGACTAGTAAAATTTTATGTATCACGTGTTTCAAAAACCTGATTATACATATGGGCATTTTGTAGCATGAGTCATATTTTTTTGAGAAATATGATTTGAGGTTATGTAAAAGAAAAATCTTTTCATGTGATCATGACACTTGAATGTGTATAGTTACTGCTAGAGCAATCAGTGAGAAGGCATACCTCACCACTGATGGTGCCAGAAGCCATCATGTCCCCTGGGTTAATGTTACATCCAGTGACGGTGTGATGGGCTAGTTGCTGTTTTGGTGTCCAGTATAGGTACTTGAAGTTGGAGCGACACACTGTGCTCTCAACTGAGTTCTCAGCTGCAACATCAAATTCAGTGCCTCCCATGACATTTTATTTATCCATATCATCTAAGTATATCATTAAATGAGTGATAGTAAGGAATTACAGGATTCCAGAACTTCATGAATATTGATGTACTTCAAACAATACCTAGAACTAAGTTCAAAACTGGGAGTGCGAAAGTGAGATGCAAACTGAATTTAGAAACAGATTATGAAAGGTAAAGGTGTTTCTGTGCTTAACTAGTTAAGCACTATACCATGAAGACATATTGGGAGTGGGTGTATAGATCCACATTTTCTTGACCTTGGCACTAGTTGAAGGTGAGTGGTTAGCTTTACCCCTGGGGAAAGAGCCGCTGATACCCATTGGATAAAAGGTGAACCCCAGAGTCGGTCTGGACGATGGAGAGAAAATTGCCCCTACTGGAACTCGAACTCCAACCCTCGGTCATCAAGCCCGTAGCCAGTCGCTATACCAACTACGCTATCCTGGCTCCCAAAATTATAAGTTTGACAGTTACCAGATCCCAAGTCACCATAGCAAAGGCAAAAGGTAAATTTATCACCATGCCTAATTAATTAAGCACGTCATGAAGCTGTATGGGGAGTGTGGAGGTATAGCTCCACACATTCTTAACCTTCACACTGGATTGAGATGAGCGGTCAGTTTCACATCCTGAGTAATTTACCCTTGGCAGAAGAGTCCTGGTACCAATTACAAGGGTGGGTAGACCCCAGAGCCAGTCTGGATGTGCCAATTAAGATAAAAATCTCTCTCTCTCTGCCAGGAATTGAACAACCATAAGTGCCCATTATACTGGTCAAGCTATCCCAGCTCCTCCTAAGCAATCGTGATGTCTAGAAATTACATATGAGTGCTAACATTTTCATTTAGTAATACCTTATCTGCACTCAGATTAAATGCTCAAACTTTAGATTTTATTAAGAATCTAAGGTACATCCTTTTTTGTGAAGTCTGTACGTAGAAAGCTTTTCTTTAAAATGATCCCATTGCATACATTAGAATATTTACTGTATTTTCACAAATTACTCACAGCACTGATGCAAAAGATTAATATGTATATAAGTCGAATTGTATTGAGTTCTAAGGTGAAAATATTTCAATTTTGGAACTTTAAATGTCTAAAACAAACAAGAACAAAAGAGTGAACTGTTACATCTAACATGTTCTCATTCATACTACTGATAAAAGGCTTGTTATATTGCATGACCAAACTGGATTAAATTTTATTTTATGCAATCATATCTATGTATGAAACTGGGAAATTACTGACACAAGGGAAGGAAGGAAAAGCTCACGTTTAATGTCCACCTGTAGGTTGATGTCAAAGTTATATGTGTCATCATGCTGTAGATATGGGAATGGAGTTACATCCTGCTTGTAGTTATCAACAATGAATGGTGTCAATGCCTCCATTGTTACCACCCAGGGAGAAATGGATGTTCCAACATTCTTACCAAGGAATGGACCAAGTGGAACATACTCCCATTTCTGGATGTCACGAGCTGTAAGATGTATTCATGTTTAATGCATCTGTTCTTGAATTACAACATAGAAAAAAATTGTAATACAAATTATAATAACTGCAAAGGTTTTTTACATTTAAAATTAGGCATGTTTAAAAATTAAGATAGCACATGGCTTTCTGATGTCTTCCATTGATGCATTAACTTTGTGTGTCAATTGTCCTGAATTTGTTGAGGCACTTCTTACATTTCCATTGTTTGGTGTTTGATAACTTGGTGATCAAAGATTATGTAACTTTCAGATATTTCATGTTTACCTCTCCCTTAATTCAAAAGTTTGCTTCATTCTCTTTACATGATTCATCACAAGCCTTACAGACGCTGATAAAGAATTCTGTATATTTGTTGATCGTGAAGTTGGCGGCCATGGATCATTGTTTTATGGTGATATGTTATGCAATGTTTCATACGAAGTAAGAGTAGTACTGTAAAATAATTGTAACTTATGCTGCAAATGTTATACAGATTTTTGTTACACTCAGTCATTAGCACATGCCTCTTATCATATCAAGGAAACTCAAAATACAAAGGGCATTCCGTATATAATGCCTCCTATTTTCTTGTGTTAATATGTAACGTCTGAGCTGGATGTTGGTGGTGTTGTAGTAAAGGTTGAATCTTCCTGCCAATGGACTGTTAGTTTGGTTGTCGTGCAACAGATAGTGACAGCAGAGCAGTCCACCAAAATGGCGTCTGACATAGAAGTGTGTACAAAACAGAGATGTGTTACTGAATTTCTCATTGCCGAACAAATTGCACCCATTGACAACCATCAACGCTTGCTAAAGGTGTACAGAGACGGTACAGTGGATGTCAGCACAGTGAGGCATTGGGTAGTGTGTTTCAACAGTGGTGAAAGTGAAGTGCACAACAAGTCACGCCCTGGGTGTCCCTCCTCAGCTACCACTCCTCACAATGATCATCTCGATCAGCTCATCCATACAGATTGGCTGATAATGAACAGGGAACTGTGTGCGTGGCTTAATATCAGCTGTAATGCATTGGAAACGATGTTGGGGAAGCTGGATTATCGCAAAGTTTGTTCCAGGTTGGTCCTGCAGATGCTTACACAGGACCAAAAACTCATCGAATAGAAGTCTGTCATGACCTGTTGCACCAGTTTGAG